TGCGGTCTTGGCACGTGTTGTTGTGAAGTGATTCATCAAGTTGTGAAGTGAATCAACAAGATGCTTCCGTCTTATTGATTAAACTTCCTTCGAAGAAAATTTACGGAAATCACAATGAAATTTGTGGGAATAAAATTTACATATGGAAATTCACCGCCCGAAATGAAAATTAACTATCGATCAAAGTCCTTTCCTCGACTCGCAATTCAACGTTCGCAAATAGCAATTTTATATCACGACATTTCCCAAGCTTTTGTGTGCGTTTTGACGGAAAAAATATTTCTCCTCGAAGATCTCACTATAAAGATATGTGTTTAAAGATTTATAATCTGTTTTTAACCTATATTCCCTCGATATTTTCTGTGTTGTTGACTTGTTGTTAATGTACTCGGGTGAATATGATGCTTGTGATGCTACTCTGAGACCCCGTTCACACTTTCACACGATACCGGCAAAGTTTGGAAACGGTACGAAATTCTTACGTTTAGGGGTTGCGTTCACACAATACCGGTATGAAAAACTATAAAACGAAATTCTACCATCAAAGTGCCGTGTGAACGCCTAACCGTAAGAATTTCATTACGGTTATGCAAAATGAAATTAACAAAACTGAAAGTTGTTGTTGGACATTTTATTCTTTTTATTTTAACTGATTTTTGGAAAACGCAAAGCTTCTACTAAAACCAAATTTCTAGAAATTTTTCCCAACATTTATAGTTAGTTTGCGTATATTTTTTGTGTCAAAACAAAATTCTCCACTGAATTGCAATGCTGACGAGAATTAGGCCAAGAGAATTGCTTAGGCCTACCACACTGACGGATTTTATGTAGCTGCTGCATGTAACCTTTCGGGGTTTTTTTCGTGTTTGCGAAATGTTTTTGTGAGTCATCCAAAGTTTGCGGAATGTTTTGTCAGTCATTCAAACCTTGATTTTCTGTGTGAGAATGTTTTTGTGAGCCGTGAAGCATGCAGTCTACTTCCGTTTTTGTTGCATGCCCATATATGGGCATGCAACTTTCATATAGCTCTAAATTTCGTGTCGTGTAGGTACGTTGTGCGTTGTACCGGCGGTGGTAAATCACGTGACAGATTCGTAAAATAGTATAAAATACAAAGAAAATATTGATTTTTCGTCGAAAATTTACGTAATTTGGCGCCTTAGAAAAATAGATCGAGGTAGGTAAAGCTTTGCTGTTTTTAATTTACCTTATATTCTGTTATTTTGGTGCCATTGTGATCGCACTGATATTTATCAATTATCAGGCGTTTTAATATTATATATCGTGTGAAAGGCTACGCTGTATTAAACCTTTCACACGATATATAAACCGCTACGCTATCAAAATGTGCTCAAATTGAAACGAAGCCATTGTGCTAGCACTGATTAAATTGTGTGCAAATGTCAAAACTACATCACATTCTGTAAATAACATGAAATATATTTAAAAGTCAAACAAAATTCTCATTATACTATTGTCTATTGAAATTTAATAATACAACGAAATAGCATTCTACTTCGATAATTTCAATCATGGTCGAGATCATAGTTTAATAATTATTTTCAATCTATTATTGTAGTTTTCCACGGGTTTTTATACTTTCAATAAGCTACAATAAAGCTAAATTTAATTAAATTTGTAGGAGTATTACTGTATTAATAACATTGTTTACTTCGAATAGTCAATCAGCGATAAAACCTTGACTCTGACCTTGAGCAGTTGACCTTGTTATTACCGTCCCTTGAAACTGCAGATGAACAGTCGCTCATAAAGCATTGCCTATTCGTATGAGAAACTTACGTTTTCTTATTTTGACATAATAGCTATTTTTCAATATATATATTGATATTAATCCTGGGCGACAGGCCCTGTGAAAAGTAGGTCGATAGTGGAATACTATTTTACATATTCATATCTTCAGTTCAGTACATGATATGCAAATAAAAATACCACCATTCGATTCAGCGAGAAAATATCTCCCAATTCCTAATGATGGTTTTACTAAAAGGCAAACGCTATAGCGACTTATGACCTTTGAAGGGTCAAAAGTATCATATTTCAACAAATTACATATTTGTTCGAAAAATGTAAACAATGTATCACTAAAGCCATACCTTTCGCCGTACACAACTTCGGTTCCTTCAAACATATCTTTTTCGTTGTAGTTTTGTTCGATTCACAATCAAAAACACTATTTACAGTGTTATTTTGAAATTTGTAGCCTCAATTTTTCGTCTTTTATTTAAATATTTCAATCCTGCTGCGATATTAGTGAACTCAGCGGGATATTTTTTGACCGGATATGCGATTTAGATTCGCCAAATCATCGCGTGTTTACATCCTAGCGCTCGGGAAACGTCGGAAATCGATTCCAAAGGTCAAATTACACTGCAGCGTGATTTTCACGTGCATCGTAGCCTGCATGGCAGGCAGTACTTAGGAAATACCTTTGCCTCCCTAATTTTCGCTGCCTGTAGAAATACCGCCTGCCACGTAATCTCGTTCCCAGAGTATGCCTGTTCGCGGGTTAGGTCATGCCACAACCTAACCCGCGAACAGGCATACTCTGGGAACGAGATTGCCTGCCACGCAGGCTACGTGCATCGAGCCACGGGTGCTTCTTATTCGCCAATTTTAGCGTGCGGCCGGCGCAAGCGAGTAAATGCCCAATATTTTTAAAAACTCGAAATAAACATTTGTATTAGCCCGCGTGCAGGCCCAAGGGAACTGATAATATATGTTAAAACGTAATGTATGTTAAAACGTTTTCGCTTTGTCCAAATATGTTAACGCCCGAGTCAAGCAAAACGATTACACTAATAAACGGTTCGCTTTTTTATTTTAAATTCCAGAAGCAGAAGTTTATGCACCTGTGGGATCAACTTAGTGCTAGGGCATTCAAATTATAACAATAGGATAATTTCTATAGTGTCACTTTTTTTTGGGACACCCTGTACAAGCAATCAAACGCAACGGCTGAGGTTGACTGAACGCATTTCAAAAGAAAGTGATCGCAAAAAGTTGAATCTCGCGATATTTTGCACTGAATGGAAATAGGCCTGAACGTTCCTAAGGCATGCAACATGTACGCACTGCGTACCTATTTTTACGGAATGCTTCTGTAATGCGTCGCAACCATATGAGCGATCAGCGATTATATATATTGTGTATATGTAAGTAAAATGCATAGATTAAAAAAGTTTTTTTGGATTTATGAAATAAATGATATTAATAACGAGCTGAGTTGTTGTATTTGTTATCAGAATAGGGGGCCCCAGGGACAGCTTGGCAAATGCTAATGAGGGCATTTGCATAACCTACCTTATATAAGTTGTTTACGCCAGTAGCTCATTCTCAGTCGTGACATTTAGTCGTTCCAAACACTTCGAGCATCACTGATGCCTCTTTTAATTCCTCGTGAATCTGGATCATCTGTTTCAACCGTTGACTCAATGGCGTTTGTTTCCTCTTCGCCTGTGCCAGAAGTATCACAATCGTTGCAGAATTCGTCAGATAATATCGTTTACTCGATCGCTGAAAATACCAAAATATGATTCTGCGAACGTATTCGCAATTCGGGGGTGTCGCCTGGCGCAATTACGACGAGGCTTTTCGCCGCGACGCCGCCGCCCTGGGTTTGTCTGATCGGTCAAACATGAACGTGGTGCTATTTAACATCCACACCGCCGCGGTTCGTGTTCCGCGTTCCCCGCGTCGCGTTCAGCATGCGGGTTGACTTTATTGACTTTATTGACTTTATTAAAAACGGTACTATTTCACCAAGATATTTACAAAAATTAAGACGGGTGATCTTCCAATAGGCCGTATATAGCTATACTAATTACACATATACTACAGTATCTAATAATAATAACTAAATTACACACAAATTACACACTTACAGTTAGACTATTTTTAAATGTAGAGATACTTTTTTTTTTTACTTTTTTTTTTCTTTTTTTTTCTGTGTTGGTGTAGTGTACTCAGGTGAATATGATATTTGTGGTGTTACTCTGAGTGTATATCCACACCGGGCGAGCTTGAAAAATATGCCCGGCCACGGTGGGATTCGAACCTACGACCTTTGGAATACTAGCCCAATGCTCTTCCAACTGAGCTATGTCAGCAGACAGATTATTCCAAGTCTCAGCTCCTCGATAGGCGAAAGACTTTTTCATAAAATTAGTTTTAGGTTTAGGTAATGCAAAATTGAATTCGCTCTGTCTTGTATTGTAATTATGTATTTCATTTGAGGTGATGAAAAGTTCCGTTAAGCAATTTGGTAACATGTTATGTTTGGCTTTGAACATTAGGACGGCTAAATGACGTTTTCTTCTAGTCACGAGATTTGGAAAACCGACCTTGTTCAAAACATCGATTGTACGTGTATCATAGTTTTCACGAGTTATTATTCGAAATGCTCTATTTTGAAGCTTCTGGAGTTTATCAGATAGTACTTTACCCAGACAACCCCAAATCTGTGAGCAATAGTCGAAATGTGGTTGAATTATTGATAAATAAATTTTGATCAGTGTTTGGTAATCTAGAATGTCTCTCAATCTTTTAAGGATACTGAGACCTGAATTAACCTTTTTTGTAATTTGATCAACTTGAGCATTCCATGAGAGTGTTTCGTCAATCATTAAGCCGAGTGATTTGGTCGTTTTGACTCTATTAATTTATCTGTCTTTTATGAATATATTAGGCGTTATGTTAATATGATTGACTCTTCTATTACTACCTATTATCATGTATTCTGTCTTCGTTTTGTTTAAAGTTAGTTTATTTGCCGACAACCAAACTGAAACGTTTTCTAGATCTTGATTAAGTTCCTCAGCAATTGTATTAACATCATAACCTGCCGTTTCAATTTGGGTATCGTCGGCAAACATATTGACTTTAGTGTGTTCCAGACAATTAGGTAGGTCATTTATGTAGATTAGGAACAAGAGTGGACCAAGAGCCGAACCTTGTGGTATACACGTTGTCACACATAGAGGATCAGATAAATGGGCATTCACTTGGCAATATTGTATTCGACCTGTTAAATAGGAGTTGAGCCAGCGTAATGCCGACCCCCTTATGCCATAAATTGCCAACTTACTAAGAAGGATGTCGTGATTAACAGTATCGAATGCTTTTTTTAAATCAAGAAATATCACACCATTAAGTTGGCCAATGTCCATATTCTGATACCATCTATTTGTGATATCGAGCAACGCAGTTAGAGTTGAATGGTTCGGCCTAAAGCCGTGTTGGGAATTTGCTAGTAGATTTTCTTTAATCAAATATTCATAGATCTGGTTGTGT